CGGTGTCTGTGAGTCTGAGGATCTTGAGCAGGTGCATCGTCTCCTCTCAGGTGAGCTTGTGTGTAGAGATCTTGAACTGATGGAGATATCTTCCCAGATGAGTTGAATGGGTGTTCATTGCAAAAATCGTGTTGCTAGGCAGCGATGCACTGGTAAATCTGACACGAAAACTGTGTTGCTAGGCAGGGATGCACTAGGAAATCACTGGAGCGTAACTGTACTGAGTTTTTTAAAAGATCGAAATTTCAAGTAAGATTGACGCTCTGATCACTGTTAGTCCGAGCTTTTATAAGCTAGATTCTAGTCATCTGCATCTCGTGTGGGTGTTCCGATTCTTGAAATTGCTTGATCGTGTTGGTTCGTACTAATGTCCCCTAAGCGAGATTTTTGTCCTTGGTAGCTCTCTTAAAGTCGGGTTTCATGCTTTTTTTGAGAATCCAATAATTTTTAATTGGCCAGTCGTTATCAGAATTTGAAGAGATGTCTTTCATGGGGAACGGTCCCTCGGTTTTGCAATTATTTCATGCCTTTTTGTAAAAAGAAAACCATTCCTTTTCTCGCAGTGAAGATGCACAAAAGTTTGGATTTTTCCGGTTGCAGTCGGTACGTTTTCGTACCCTTTTTGGAATGGCTGTTCGTATTCTCTCTCCAAATCGTAGATGTATCTGATAGGCCTACGATACGTATGCGCAGTGAGCTCACCAGAGGATTCATGGCGGATGATGTTCGAGAGTAGCATGTAGATGCGATACCCATGTAGGATGGCCGGATTGGCTTGATGATCGGGCCAAGCTCGATGCCAACATTTCCGAAGCTCGGAAAAGAGACTGGCCCAATGCTCTATCGAGCCTTGGATGATAACTCCGGCCCGATTATCGGTGCCTTCATTGGCCCAATGATGGCAGCCGATTGACAGCCGAGTCTTATTAGTTTTATCCAAAAATATTAACAATATTTATTTTTTATTGAAATTTATCCTATTATCAATCTTTTGACGGTGATTGAAAAGAGCTGATAATGAAAAACCACAACAGACTGGACTGTAAATGCTCGGCATATGATTGGCTACCGAGGCACTCATTAAACAAAATAATAAGAGCTGAAAAAAGAAAATTTTCTCGTTTTTATGATTTATTAGTTATTCCTAACCGCGCTGGCAACGATTTCCACCCTGAAAAAACCTAATCGACGAACTCAAATTTTGTACCCGACGAGACTCAAACCAAAGATCTTTCGCACACTAGTTGCATTCCCTGGTCACTAACCTAGTACCTAACTCTTGTGGTAGGAGTATAAAAATGACATAAATTTCAGTGAGTTATTTTTGCGCATTTCTGTCCTGTGACCAATTAATGGACAAGTAGATTACTGAGGATTCCCGTAATTTGTTCAATTAAAAAATAAATCCCATCATAATAACGATTTTTATTTTCCAATAAAATTAAATTTTTCAATTATTATTCACCTGGTCTCAATGAATGATAATTTCGATAAAATTTCCACGCATTTCATTGTTTAATGATAAATATAATGTAGTTATACTCAATGATTGTTTTAAGTGTCGGATATTGGGGAAGCTACGTAGGGCCCATGGATAGCCAATGATCGACCAATATCTATTCAATGGATTGAGGCTTTACCATTGGACTAGCATCGCTCAACCGAACCTCGTTTGATCGATGAGGGCCAATATATTGGCGGAATATCGAACCACCGAGTATCAGCGAACGATGCTGGCCAGTGTAATTGAATAGTGATCGTCAGCGAATGGATCAGGGCCCGAGCCTTGGTCAAAGTTTGGTATATCGATCATTAGGTCATGCTCGCCCAATCTTCGGCGCATTCATCTTTGGGTAAACGATGATCGGCACAGCATTGGCCGAAGCTGCGTAAACCGAGATTTGGTGAACCTATAGTAGCCCGAGTATTGGCCGCGTCTGTTTAGTCGGCAAATCCTGCACGAGTATCTCGTCTGTATGATATCCGGTAATGGGTGTCCAGCGGCGCCCGTGGATCTATTGTTTCCTTTCCCTCTTTTCTGGAGTATTGCGTGGCCTATTCGTTTATTTACCAATATTCCCCTGAGTGATTTATTATTATTTGCAAAAATCATGATATTTTTGAGTTGCCTTCTTTGGAGAAACCCGTGGCCTATTTATCCATGTTTGGGACCCGCGATCCGCGACAGGGTTTCATGATTTTCAATGAGAATTTTTAGCACGTCAGATGTTTTGACAACTTTCACCGGTTTCACACACTTTCCACCGGTTTTCGTCGTCTATTACCGCTTTCTCGTAGTCGGGGCTGTAATAAAACATTTCGTTTTGCTCTATTTTCCATTCGGTAAATCATTGAGGATATTTCTCGATTAACTTGAACTTGAACCAATTCTCAGTATACATTGAATTACATCGAGCTCGATTTTGAACTGTTCTTCGCCAACATTTTCCTACCCTTTTCACTTTCCCCCAAGGTCAACATTGATGTTGAATATTCTCCACAACGTATTAGGAGCTTCGCTCGTCGTGCCCCGACGGTGTTCTATTGTAATTTCGTGTTGGAACAAATAAATCGATGACCTCGCTAGACACCCAGTTGGATTTTTCAACTGATGATGCCATTGGAGGGCTTGATTGTCTGTGACTACTCTAAGCGGAATTCCCTCGAGATAATACCAGACCTTTTCTACCGCCCAGACAACAGTTAAACACTCTTTGTCGGTGGTGATGTAGAGCACTTCTGCACCATGCAATGCTCTACTCAATACTTGAACCAAGTTTTCTCCGTCTGTTTCTTTGTCATGCTGAAGAAGCATGACGCCTAGACCAACGGCATCAGTTTCCCGCCCGAGACACGATAAATTCAATAATGGAATAACTGGGGGAAAAATCCGTTGATTTAATAAGTTTAAGGAAGGGCCTGAAATAATGAAAAAGAGGGGGGAGGTGAGAATGATATACTCGGGGGAAGTTGTAAAACACCAGATATATTTCACACTTCTCTTGCAGGTGATAAAAAAAAAACAAAAAGATACAACAAAAAGTTGACAATTGAGGGCATTGTATTATTAGAACAAGGGTGGAGGATAAATTCAACCAGCTTGTGGCGTTCGACTAAGTGAATACAAAAATAAAGAATAACCGGGGAGAAGCTAATGGTAAGGAAAAGGGCAAAAAGCTATGGGACCGATTTAACTTAGTTACTAATTACTAGAAGAGTCTGACACGAAGGCCAATGTTATATGAGCAATGCCTATTCGTTGTCCGTTGTTTAATGGGGGGCACTTGTCTTTGGGTGTCCTTGTTCCTTTAATTGTTTCTGTGGGGGTCTGCTGAGAGGTTGTCTTCTTCTCCTGTCTCCTCATCTACTTTTCTTCGTTGATGATGAATATCGTGGCGAAGGGAAAGGGCACACGCCTTCGGGTGTGGGAAGAAGTATGTCGGGAGTGGGAACCCAACGATGATAGATTTCTTAACCTACTTTTTTCCTGTGGCTAAACTTAAGCGGCTCTTAGTATTCCTAATAGTTAATTATAATAAATAGTTATTTATTAGGATGCAGGGGGAGGGTACTAATTATTCGCCTCGTCACAAAGTGAATACCTGATCTACCTATTTATTTGGCAACCTTTGGAAGGTAGACGGGGCGCCCGTTAAACCGTATGACATACGAAACCATTCGAACAGCCCTTTACCTTTCATGACAAACGCCGTGTATCTTCGAGTGTGTGTCCTCTATTGGGATTTGGTGAAATGCTTCACTCATATCGATTGTCGAAATTATTTTTGTCTGATGTAATTGCGGCAAGGTAGAGCGAATGTTATGAAGTGGCTATGCCGGTTTTTTGGTTTGGCGTATGATGGGATTGCAGTTAACACAAAATCATAAACCTGCTTTCACTTTCGGGGCAACTCCAGGAGAGCTCGCCCTTTTGACAGCCTTTCAATCTCATTGTCAATAAATTTGTGTATTATTTCACTTCTACGGTACGGCTTTTCGTGTATGAGAAATCGAATCATCGAACTCAATCAATTGAGACGGAATCTTTTTTTACGTGACGCGGGATTTATGCAATTTCGGGTTTTACAAAAGATTCCATCCGACGCGGCTTAAGTTAGAAGCTGTCGAAGCTCAAGCCGGCTAAATTGTCAATTTGAAAATGTTAGGTGACCGTCAATTTTGACAAGATTGACAGCATGAATAATTAAATAAGTATTTTCACAAGAGACTTGAAACTCAGGGTTGCTTCGACTTTGACTAAAAGAGGGAGTTAAACAAGGACGGAAAACTACGTATGTTCCTTTCTCGAAAACCGACTCTCTTCTCCAATCATACAGTCACGGAGTAACTGACAAACAAAATTATATTTGTATAATTAATATCAACTTATACATCGGTTCACAAAAAGATCAATCACGACGGCCGAAGCGAGTGTGTTTTACAGAAGACAAGACGAGAGCGTCTTTTACAAAAACGAAGATGAGAGTGATGTGCCTCGACACTAGTGCTGGAGACTTGTTGCGTGTGATCCCGTCGGAAAATCGATATTTAAGCGCAACCTCGTCGACTAAATAAGACCGAAAACTCTCGATTGGCCATATATAGAATTAAGACCAACCGCTTGGTGGTCTTTTCGGACTTGACAATTGTTTTTTTTTGTGTTTTCTTTTTGGGTTTTCGAAACTGACGTTGGAGATTTCACTGTCGCGTTACAAAGTTGGAATAGTATCGTAATTTAAGAAAATCGCCTAGATGTCTTGCCTAATTCTACTAATGTCACTAATATTCATAATATTTGGTTGGATTTATAGTTGTTTGCCTTCTACCATTTTTCCCATAATCTGAAACTCTAGAATGATATTGTCATTAGGACAGAATAAATCATAAGTAAATAGCTGTTATGTGAATTAAGTGAATTCATGCGTAGCATGACAATGCGCTGAACTATTTGAGAATTCAACTAGATTTTCAACTGAGAGACTGGTATTATTATCCTACAGAACTACTTCAAGACTCAAAAGGGACCACGAACATGTCCAGTATGTTCCGCTTATGTGGAGCCATCCTCCTTCATGAAGGTTGGTCAGACAGGAAAACCGAGGCCAACTGTGAGAATACTTAATGTACCAGTAATACTCCGATACGATACGAACAGTGATGAAGCTCCGAATAATCAAAAGAGGACGGAATTGTGTGGGTATCCGCACTTAGTGAGACTTCCTTCCAGGGTTTACGCTAAGAGTCTTTATGAGGTCTTCAAGAAAATAGTCCCACAGGAGGACCATTACACGATTCATTTTGTGGATGGACAGGTGAATATTATTGCATGCAAAAATTTTTGGCCTAATTTCACTGTCATATACGGACTGAAAAAGTCCGTAACAATTGCCTAACCGTTCCTTAATTATGTTGCATTCTTGCCACTCGGAAATAATTACCGTGCTGCGTAATACAATTTGTCAGCTGCCTAGTAACTGTTATCTAGTCGTTCGAGAAAAAATTACTTGACAATATTTACTAAGCAGTCGACAAATTTTACTAGATGCCCTGGTAATTTGCCCCGAACGGCTAACACATAACACGGTTACGAAGCGTATAGGTGGTTTTACTGCCCTTTTTTCTCCGTCTTGGTTTACATTGTACTTAGGTATCTTCAAAGTTTTACCGAATTTGATTCTTTTGATTTTTTTGTGTCCAAATTTCAGCCAATAGAATTGCGCCATTTGACTGGTTTATCTGCCATTTCCGCCCGATAATTTTGAAATTGTGGTGGTATTATAAGTAATTATTTTTCCCATTCAATCATTCGACATGACGTGAAATCTATTACACAGTTTCAAACTGATAATTTTTTAATAATTTTGCATGTTACTATATTCATAAAAAGCAAAAGATCATTCATTCACGTTAACCATCTGTCGAACGGAGAGTTGTAATTAGGTTGTGAATTGATTAAAGGATTCTTGTTTTGATTATGACATTTCCTTCAGGTGTTCTTATCTTATTTTAGTCTCATGGCGCAATTCTATTGATCGGCGTTTCAATGTGAGAAATGATCCCCCAAATTCCACGCGAGCTTTGCAATTAATCGGATATTTCTCTCTACGTTCATTGCAAACAAACGAGTTTATCAAGTTTTCCCGAGAAATTGTTACGGACTTGAAGTAAATTAGAATTTGGAACAATGTCGTTTACTGGAATAATGATTATTTTCATGATCAATGTTTGAAATTACTTGATTAGTGAGAACTCCATGGGAAATATGCTTGGATTAATAAAACATGTCGTTTTCATGATTGCGGAATTCGTAATTATTCAAATCTTTCGACATCTGCGAGAAAATTATCTCCAGTACTGATTTTTTTTCTAATTGCGAGAAAAATATTCTCAATCACTTAATTTATTCCACCTTCCGTAACTAACAATGACTGATCATTCAATTTTTAATTCTCGCTCAAAATTGTTTTCAATGACCGTGGCACGTGTGGAAATATCCATACGTTGATTTTATTACGTGGGTGTAGGTATGCCGTCTCACGGTGACACATAAGTCCTGCTTACGTTGGAAGATAGTTGGACTATGGTTGACTGTTGTTATTGACCTTATACTTCGTGTCTCGCCCTTCGAGATTACGAAGGTAGTACCACTACTTATGCCTATTGAACCACAAGTTTTAGAGCTCAAATAATTAACTTTGAAGTCCCGCCGGTAACGCTGCTAGCGCTCTCCCGCGGTCACTTTGGTCATTCGTTTTTCTTGTACCATACGAACCGCACGTTTTTCGAGCAGTTTTTCGAGCTCCACGGGACTATACGGGAAAAGAGAAGAATTATAGAAAAAAATTCATCACTTTCATCAAATTCTTACCAACATGGGTCAGCACAAGAGATCACGTAAGAGATCGCGTAGCAGGGACAAGGAGAGTGAACGCCTCAGATCAAAAATGAGGAAACTAGAAAGATTGATTCTGGATCGCCTTTCCCCACCCCAACCTCTAAATCCAGTCGACAGCAATGTCAATACACTAAACGACAAAAATGGCCTCCAAGACAGGGATAATTTACAAGGTAAGATGGACAAAAAAAACGGGGTCGATCTTGTACGAGAGACAAGACAAAAATCCACCGATACATGACTGAGTTTATACGAGAGATAAACCTATTGTCAAAAAAATGAAAAGATGAACTTACCCGAGAGGTAAGACAGGGTCAAAAAAATAAAAAAATACAGATCTGCCCAATCCAATGCCCAAAAATCCTTTTCTAGACCCGCTAACATCTACGGTGGGAGATACATCTGAGGAAGACGTTCAAGTAGTTAAGGTGGTGGACGCACCAGTTCAACAAGACGATCACGAGGCCGCTGATATAAGTAAGGATAAGGAGAATGTAACTCCTTTGGAACTCCTCATAATAGGAGGTGAACCAACAGTCAGAGGGAAAACTGGTAATTCACTCGAGTATTGCCAACCTTTGGGGGGCTTGGTTAAAAACACCCATGACAAAAGAGGTTAAAGATGAACTATGCAAGAAATATCCAAGAACAGGATCAATCTCTTTGGAAGCCCCCACTCTCAATGAGCAATTGACAGGCTGCATGAAGGAAAATATTCTCAAAACAGAGAAATACTTTTGCATCACACAAAACTCAGTGGGCACAGCACTATCAGCGTTAGCTTCAGCCATCACTACGCTAGTGTCCTGTAAAACAGAGGAAGCTAAAAAAGTTCTAGCCGAAATTTGGGATGCGGCCAAAGTTTTGGCAGAGATTCATCGTTCCCAGACGGTGGCTCGCAGAGTATGTGTCACACCAAGTCTATCAAAACCCATCGCAGAATCCCTGGAAAAAAGAGAGACAGGCACGTTCTTGTTTGGCGAAAAGCTAGGTGACAAGCTCCAACACCTAAAACTCTTGGATAAATTGGAGCATGAGATTAAAATGCAACCACCAAAGCCATCCAAAAATCAACTGATCCAGTCAAACTGGAGAGGCCCGTCGGTATCACAGAAGCCGAATCCCCAGACGGGCTACAAACCAAGAACAACTCCAACATCGTCGGCAACGAAACCCACAGCGAAACCAGCTCCATACCCCAGCTCTAGCCACTTCCGTCAGAAGAATCACCATTTCAGCCGACACAACAGTCATCGCTCTTAAACCAGGGCCCGGCTACCTTCAGGTAGTCGGGAGCCAGCCTATTACAAGGGTCGGGATAATCCTCTCATCCTAATGGGTACTCAATTAGCCAACCATTGTGTGCCAGTAAGTCCCAGTGGTGACGATATTTTCGTTAGCCGCGTAGAGTGGCGTGCGAGTTGAATAAAAAAGGTTGACCCGCCAGAATTGGCACGAAATTTCAGTTTTTATTTTTAGCTCTAAATTTGGAAGATGTCAATTTGCAATGAAAAACATTAGAGATTATATTTCTGAAATGGTTTTCGCCAATTATTAATGGTATTTAAAATATTGGAACTCTAAATGGGAAAAATGAGAATGTGCCTCTGTCAATTTAGGGATATATTCCGCGAAATTCCATTCCACACTTTCATATTAGAGTTTGAATTGCCTAATTTTGCAACATCAAAACAAAAAATGAATTTTTTTATTCATAACATGAGGAAACAAATGTTCAGATTATTTCTCTGGTGGAGCGTACCTTCTAACTTATAATTTCGGTGGAAGGATAGTGTCTGGGACTAGAAATTTGAAGTATAAATAGAATAAAAAATGAGTAATTTAATTTTTGTTTCCGAATAGAAGCATTGCAATCGTCTGATTTTTCTATTCTCTAATTTTGCCTGAAAATGGCGTAGAATTTTCTGAAACGTAAAAATACCAAGTTTGAGGGCCATGTGTGTATATGCAGAAGGTCAACTGACGGTCAATCTTTACAAACGAAGAAGAATAGCCAGGTAAATGAATTCCCGAAAATTTGAAATTTGGCCAGCTCATAGGTGAATATGGACTTGATGGGTGTTAAGCTTCAGACCGATCGGTCCCATTCGGAACTGCTAAGGCTTTCCCAGCCCTGTTCTCATCGTCAGCCCTTAGAATTCCTATCAGAGTTATATTTATTTTCCCAACAACACTATTTATCCACTATTTATCCACGGATTATTTACTTTATTTGGTAAAAGTATCTCTCCACCTCAGAATTTTGGACAATTGTTCTATTGTATTTATTGAATTGCTGCAAATAAGATCTGGACACAAAATATTTGTCAAAGGTGACTTGAAAGCATTAAAAAAAATCTTGTGCCAGACATTGCTGCCTATTTAGAGCGAAAAATAGATATTTATATTTCAAATTTTTGGAAAATTGAAAATTTCCGGTCGATCACACGATCGCCCTCTGCCGGTATCGGTCGAAACAGGGCTCAAGGAGAGCGAAAAATCGAAGTAGAGCAGGTAGTTTCGAGGATGGGGACCCTCTCCCAGCTCTCACTAACGAACCTCGGGAGCGGTGTGAGCCCGATGAGCCCAGGTTGCCGGTGTTTTAAACTCATTATCCTCTCAAGTAATAAAAATAGTCGGTAGACTGACTTTTTATTTTTACAAGTACTGGGAGGAAATCACGTCCGATGAGTTCATTTTACAGTGCATAAAAGGATATGAAATATGCTTTAAATCGCCACCTACACAAAACCACATCCCTGAACGTTCTTGGTCTATAAATGAACAAACTATATTAACCTCAGAGATCTGACGATTGTTGGAGATGGGAGCCCTCGAGCCATGCAACCCAATAGACGACTAATTCATATCCGGTTATTTTCTGCGCCCTAAACCGGATGGTAGCCCCAGATTTATCTTGAACTTGAAACGGTTGAATGATTTTATTCAGACCGACCACTTCAAATTAGAAGACCTAAGATCAGCCTGTAAACTACTAGATAATTACATGCATATGGGCACCATTGATGTCAAGGATGCATATTTTTTGGTACCAATTCAAGAAAAAAATAGAAAATATCTTCGATTCATTTTCCAGAAGCAATTATACCAATTTACGTGTTTATCGTTTGGTCTGTCAACAAGTCCTTTTGCTTTCACGAAACTGATGAAACTAGTGGTTAATTACTTGAGATTGAGAGGCTATTTATCAGTGATTTTTCTTGATGACTTTTTAGTATGGTCGGTCCCCGATAGCGTCGGAAGTTTGGTAAGGTAGGGTGATCGATAGCAGGTCAGGTCGATAGAGGCGAGAGCGATCGGTAATTAGATAGCGGTAGAACGCCGATAGCTGCCGATATGCGCTAGCATCGCGAGAGCTCTAGGTATAGGTATACCTTCTACTATATTCCGTTAGCT